GGTTCAGGGGGTGCCCCCGTGTTCCAAAGGAAAGGGTCCTGTGGGTTGTGGCAAAGGCAGGCCTGGGGGTGCAGGGGGTAGCAGCGTGAAGGCAAAGCAGGGCCTGGGGGCTGGGAGAGGCGGGCTGGGCGGGAAAGGAGGTTGCAGGGGGGTCTTAGTGCAGAATAAGGGGGTGCCAGGGGGTTCCTGTGGCCAGGAATGGGGGTTTGGGGGTGTCCCAGAGGGAAGGAAAAAGGGAGGATATAGAGACTGGGAGAGGGGGCCCAGGGGGTCTCTCGGTCTATGTGTCCAGGAAAGGAGGGTGCAGGGGCCTCCAGTGTGAGGGAAAGGGGGTTCAGTGGGTGGGGAGAGCCAGGATGTGCAGGAAGGGCAGTTCAGGGGGTGCCGGGTGTTGAGGAAAGGAGGGGCTGGGGAGTGGGAAAGGCAGAAGTGGGGGTGGAGGGGGTGGCAGGGTGAAGGAGAAGGGAGGGTGTGGGGACTTGGAGAGGTGGGATGGCTGGGAAAGGGGTTGCAGGGGGGTCCTGGAGCTGAGGAAGGGGGTGAGAGTCCCAGTGTTGGAGAGGAGGTGCAGGGGGGTCCTGATGGGCAGTAATGGGGGTCCAGGGAGTGCCAGGGTAAAGGAAAAGAGAGTCTGGGAGAGGCAGGATGGCTGGGAAAGGGGGTGCAGGGGATTCTGGAGCCGGGGAAGTGGGTGCGGGGGGTCCTGGTCTGGATAAGGGGGTGCAGGGGGGATCTGGTGTCCAGGAATGAGGCGTTCAGGGGGTCCCTGGGCCACTCCCGGAGCACCCTGCAGGATAAGGCAGGAGTGGGGAAGTGGGGAGACAGGGAGATTTGGGGGTCAGGGTGGTCCCAGGGTCAAGGAAAGGGAGAAACGAGGAGAGCTGTGAGAACTGGGAAGGGGCTCCAGGGGGTCTTGGGGTCAAAAAAAAGGGGGTCTGGGGGAGAGGTGAGGTGGGATGGTCAGGAATGGGGTTCAGGGGTCCCCAGGGTGAAGGAAAGAGGGGAATGGAGGGACTGGGAGAGGTGGGATGGTGAGGAAAGTGGGGGCAGGGGGGTCCTGGAGTCAAAGAAAGAGGGGTGTGGGATCTGGAAAACTGGGACTGGCCAGGCAGGGGGGCCCCAGGCCCAGAGGAGCAGGAAAAGGAGGAGGAACAGGCGGTGGGGGCTGCTGAGACCCCCAGAGTGGGGAGAGCAGAGAGGGACGATCCCGGCACCGCGGGACCCCCATCAGCCTGGAAGGAGGGGGGAACCTGCAGAGAGGGGAGGGTTGGGAGTGCAGGAACCCTGAACTGGGGGCCTGGAGAGGGGGTACCCTTGGGAACCCTGGGACCCTGAAGTGGGGAGCCCAGAGAAGGGGGAGTGCTGGGACCCCCATCAGCCCAGCCAGGGGGGTCCCAGAGAAAGGGGAACCCCGAGAAAGGGACCCCTGGGATTTCTGGGACCCACAGCAGTGTGGAGACGGAGAGACCCCAGAGAGATGGGACACCCCCAGCACCAGAAAGCAAAATGTCAGGGGAGAAGGGACCCCTGGGGCCTCCAAACCACCCCTCATCCCTGAGCAGGGGGACTGTGGAGAGGGGGGAACTGCAGGACCCCCAGCAGCCCAGAGAAGGGGGTCCCCCGGAATACCAAAGTGGGAAGACCCCTGGGATTCTTGGGACCCCCAGCAGCCCAGAGAGGGCGGGACCCTGGAGAGGGGGAACCCCCAATACATGTGGGACCCCCAGCAGCCCAAAGAGGGGGGACCCCCAGAACCCCAAAGTGGAGAGACCTGAGAGGGGGAACTCCTGGAAGGGCTTTTTTGGTCTGAACCTTGGAGTTCTGGGGGGACTTTGGCTGAAACTTGGTGTTTAGGAGGTGTTTATGGACACAAGGGGCTCGGTGACTTCTAGAGATGGACTTGGGCAGGAGGAACCCCCAACCCAATGCACTCAGCCCTTGTTTTTCCCCCCCATCAGGATTTCTCCTTCCCAAAGCTTGGCCAGATGAAGGAGGCTGCGAGGAAGAGGAAGATGCCAGGGGCCCCCCGGGCAGGTGAGGAGGAAGTCAGTGCCCCTTTGCCCTGTCCTGTCCTGTATCTCCCAGCCCAGCATCGCCCCCGGCTGCAGGACAACCCCGCTGCTGCCACCGTCCTGCTGGGGCCGGATTTGGGGGGATGTCCTTGGCCTTCCCTCTGGGCCGGAGGCAAATCCCCTCCCTGTGCTTCCTTTCTGCCCCAGGCCCCGAGCTGAGGACGGAGGGCATGGAGGACAAATCCCCCCAGCAGACCCTGGTGGGAGAGGCTGTTTTGAAGGGCTCCATGGCGCAGGAAGGTAGTGGGGAGGAAAAGGCCCAGAGATCCCTCAGGAGGAGAGGCTCCAAAGCCAGCCCAGGGTGCTCTGAGGAGGAAAGACCCAGCCTGTGCCGGGAAGGCGGCCGGAGCTTGAACCAGAGCTCCAAGCTGGTGGTGGAGGAGCGTGTCAGTGCCGTGGAGAAGCCCTACAGGTGCCCCAGTTGTGGGAAGAGCTACTGCAGCAACACCATCCTCCTTGCCCACCAGCGTGTCCACACTGGGGAACGGCCCTACGAGTGTGAGGAATGTGGGAAGACCTTCATCTATGGCTCCCACCTCCTCACCCACCACTGGGTGCACACGGGGGAACGGCCCTACAAGTGCTTGGAATGTGGGAAGAGCTTCAGCATCGAATCCAACCTGACCCAGCACCAGCAGACCCACACTGGGGAATGGCCCTACCAATGTCTCGAGTGTGGGAAGAGGTTTCGGAGCAGCTCAGATCTCCTCAAGCACCAGCGGACGCACACGGATGAGAGGCCCTTTTGCTGCACTGACTGTGGGAAGGGCTTCAAACGCAACTCCACCCTCATCATCCACCGCCGCATCCACACCGGGGAGAGGCCCTACAAGTGTGGGGAGTGTGGGAAGAGCTTCAGGCAGAGCTCTGCCTTGACCACACACCAACGGACCCACTGGTAAGGGAAGGCCTGCGAGTGCCTTGACTGCGGGAAGAGCTTCATCTGCTGCTCCAACTCCATCATCTGTCAGAGGACCCACCTTGGGAACAGGCTTGGTGACCCACATTCCCAGTGACCCACATTGGGAACAAGCTTGGTGACCCACATTCCCAGTGACCCATGTTGGGAAGACCCCTGGCTGGTGGACTGTGGCAGGATAGTCCCAGCCTGGCCAGACCCAAGGTCCAATCAAGCTCATAATCAAGCTGTCACACAAGATCAACTGCTGGAGCCGGGGTGTTGTCTTGGTGTTAACTCTGCTCAAACCATCCTGGTTGGTCCAACGTTGAACACACACCCTGCTGGTTGAAGTCTGAGTTGACAGACAAGCTGAGAGCTGGCCTGGAAAGGCAGGCCTGGCACTCAATCACTTTTTCCTATAAAAAGTCCAGTCCCCTCTCATGCAGTTGGGTTCTTTCTGACAAAACCCTCCCTGGGGGGTGTGTGGAGATTCCTCCCTTGGCTGGGGATGCCCTCCAAGGTCACTCCTCGAGGCTGAGAGAAAGAGATCTCCCCACGGGCATTGGTCTGGGTGAGTTACATCACATCTCTACTTAGTAATTATTTCTTTTTGCCAACTTTAATGGAACTGCTTCAATAAATGCTTTGTTCCAGTGCCCTGTACTGCTTTATGCTGTATTAGACTCTACTAGTAGATTTGTAGTGTTTATTTTGTTTCAGTGTTTCTGTTGTGCAGTAAGTAGTTCTGATTAAGGTTTTTGTCTGATCATTTGTATAAAGTACATTATTCATTTTATATAAATATTCTGGTTTTGCCATCGTGAAAACCTGCAGGACAAAGTGGTTTAAGAGCTCTGTAACTCCTTTAAATTTAAACCATGAACACAGTCCGGGGCTAAGAGAGGATTCAGCCACATCCAAACCCTTCCCTGGGAAGGAGTTCAGAAAGCCAGGGAGTCCTTCCTGCACCTCCAGACTCTCCGGCAAGGCTTTGCTTTTTAAAACTTAGTCTGAGCCTTCCACTCTCCCGTGACGGGGTCTCCACATCCTCCTGGTTCCCCTTGTGTCCTGGTTTGACCCTGGCCAGATGCCAGGGGCCTGTTGAAACCACTCCACTACCCTCCTGTCTGAGTTTAAAGAGACTGGAATGTTTTGCTAAGGGGGATGAGTTATGAAGTAGACCAAACTCCTCTCTCTCAGCAATTTTAAGTCCAAACATAAGAGGCTCCAATCAAGGAAGTATGGAAAAAAGGAAGAGATAACAACCCTTTATTAAAGGATATATGTGTATTGGCAAAACCAGCAAAAGAACACAAAACCAACTAAACAATAATCCTGTACCGAAAATGTCCCCTTTAAAAGAAGGAAACAGTTGGATACTTCCCTGTGCTCTGTCCCAATTCCAATCCCAGTTGGCAGGAGCTGTTGGATCCCTGGAGG